GGAGCCTAGCAGGTCGAGGCTGCGGGGGCCGGGGGCGGCCACTGCACTCCAGTCTGGGTGACAGAGTGAGACTCCAACTAAAAAAAAAAAAAAAAAAAAGATATCCTTCAATAGGCGAATGGATAGACAAACAGTGGTACTTCCATAAAATGGAATATTTTTTAGTGCTTAAAAAAAATCTATCAAACCATGCAGAAACATGAAGGAAACTTACATGCCTGCCACTAAATGAAAGCAGCCAATCTGGAAAAAGCTACAGACTGTGTGATTCCAACTATCAATGGGGGCAATGACAAGATCAGTGGCTGCCATGGGTCTTGGTGGGAGGGACGGAGGGATAAGTAGGTGGAACACAATGGATTCATGTAACAAAATGGCACTTGTTCCCCCTAAATCTATAAGAATTTTTTTAAATGTAAAAATCTGTTCTGTATGAAAATGAAATGGCAGATGCATACAATTATTTATCTGTCAAAATTCACAGAATGTACAACATGAAGAGTGACCTGTAGTGTAGAGCAGGGGCTTTAGTTAATGTGTCAATACTGGTCATCACTAATGTGAGATGTTAGGGATGGGGAACTAGGAGTGGGTTGAAGAGGTTATGGGGGGTTTACTTGCTACTCACTTTTCTGTATACTTGAAACTCCCTTTTAAAAATTGTCTATTAATTAAACAAACAAAACACAGAGGATAAATTCTGTATCTCCCGTTCCATGGGAAAACTATGTGCAATCCTGCCCGGAGGGAGAAAGTGAGGCATTCCCTTCTATGGCGCTAACAGCCTGCTTCCATCCAGCCTCTTGCTGAGGCTTTGAGTCTAAACATAGGCACAGCAATCGCTTCATCTTTCCCCTGTGAAGATGAAGCCTCCTTATCCTCCTTACTTCCTACCCCAGTCCTCAATTTTGTCATGGCTCTGTTCCCATCACAGGACATTCTGACAAAAGGCTATATCAGTGTCACCCCATTTGAATCCCATCCCCTTTGGAGATGGACAGTGGCCACTAGCTGTTCCCATATCCATAGTCCCCCTTCTTCTAAAGAAATAGAATGTTTACCAGGGGCACATGACCTCCCCCACCACCACCACCAAGAAGGCAACACTCCCCTCTTGCTCTTGCAGCCGAGTGTGGTTGTGGGCTAAGTTCTGACCAATGCGTTGTTCGTGGACTGTGGTGGAGCAGCTTGCAGGAGCCTTTCTTGGAAGACAGCTGGTGTGGGCTCCTTGCCCCTCGCTTTTCATCCCTCCCTCTATTCTGCAGCCTAGAATGCGGATGTGAAGGCTCCGCATCAGCCTAGACAGTCCTCCTCCAGACTTTCCCCTCAGAGGCTGAAGTGCACTGTCAATGCCCTGCTCATGTCCCTTAGAGCAGGCTGGACTGTCAGGTACCATTGCCCTACAACTGCAAAAAGCCTCGGCTGCCAGTGTTCCCAGAAGGCTGAAAGTGCTAAAGAATTCACACCCTCTGGGAGCAGTCCTCCACTGAGGACTTTTGGGAGTTGGTGCACAAACACCCCAGCACCCTCGCCCCCAGGGGACACAGCCCTAAGGTGTGTGTCTTGCCGCCTCTCCCAGAGTTTCCCCACAGGGCCAAGCTTCAGTTGCCACAGAGGTCAATTGCTCAACAGCATTCCCTTTCCAAGTGTAGTTCCAGTGGGAATGTGGTAGTTTCTTTTCTATTCATGAATAAGATGAAAGTGAAACAATGGAGATGTATATCAGAACTTGACTTAGTCAAGGATATGAGCAACCTGTGCTAAATAGGGCAGGACTTTTGAATAAAGTCACATTTTTGTGCTACTCACAATGTAACAGCTATTGACATGACACACACACGGTCAAGCTTAACCTGCAGCATTAACATTTCCCGCCCTTACTTTAAGTCTAGATCAGAGTTTGGCAAACATTTTACTGGAATGCAATCATAACCATTATTTACATTTCATTTGTAGCTGCTTTGGTAACTGCAATGGCAGAACTGAGTAGTTATAACACAGCCATATGGTCAGCAAAGCCTAAAATATTTACTATCCTGGCCATTTACAGAAAAATTTTGCTAACAAAACAAAATTCAAGCCCTGAGTGGTAGTGCTTGCTGCTTTCTGTGATATAAACCTTCCCACTATGGCCAATTTCTCTTACCAACCAGAGCTGCATGATGACTTTCTGTAACACATATCTTAGATTTTATATTTATAAATAAAAACAAGATATACATCTATAAAGATATATTATATTAAATATAGTTTATGGTTTACAGCTACATTGTTTCCATATGGTGGTGATGTGAATAATGTTGCAATAAACTTGAGGGTGTAGACATTGATTTCATTCCCTTTGGATAAACAGCCAGAAGTGAGATTGTCGCATCATATGGTAGATCAACTTTTAATTTTTAAATAACTTCCATGCTGTTTTCCACAGTGACTGTGTGCAAATTTCACATACCTACCAATAGCATAAAAGGGTTCCCTTTGCTCCACATCCTGGCCAACACTTGGTATCTT